CTTTCATTAAGGAGGTGCACGCCGCTCTAAGAGTCTCCCCTTCCCAATTCTATCCGAATGCAGTGGGAGCTCTGGTGGCTTTCATCATCATTTGCCACCATGTTAGAGTCGAACCAAGCTTGAGATTGCTTGGGCATTTGATCAGCGTGGGGTCGATAGAGAAGGACCTGCATTACTTTTCCACTATCGTGGTGAGTTCCAGCTTGTTTTCGATTCTTTAGAGTTGGATGAGGACTAGAGGAGGCAATTTGTGTGGGTCTATGGTGGCGACAGCGTCTTTGCCTACTCGGACTAGCTGGAGGTGAATGAGGATGCTTTGAAGCCAGTCACCCTTAGTGATTCCGAGATGACAGATCCGGAAAAGGTCCATTCTTACATCAGGCCACAAGAGAGTGATGCTCTATTTGTTGATGTATCTCTCCAAACAGTGGGCATGTCCATGATCTTATCCTCCACTGGCTTCCAGGCAAGGACGAGCCCCGTTCCTCTGTCAACAAAAAATCACAAGAAGAATATAGGGATCAGGGGGATCTCCACCACTAGGCCCCATAAGAAGCCGAGGGGGGCTTTTAGTGCCGAGGAGATGGTTGTCTTGATGCCTCAAGCAACTAACATTGTCTCTGAATTGAGAGGAAGAATAAGGGTTGAGAGGCGGCGCCACATTGGACCAGTTGCAAGGTCTTAACCGGCTAGGACGGGTCCGCTGATAACTTAGCTTACCCGCTTGGAAAATATAATGCGGATAGATGAGTCTTCTCCTGGCAAGGAGACAACGGCCTTAGCGATCGAGGAGGATGCTATTGGTCCTAATACTATTCTTGAGGCATCTCTTCACCTTGGCAAGGAGTCAATTGGGGTGGACAACGGCGTCGAGGGGAGAGCTGAAACTCCATCAGACCAAATAGAGAATGGTGCTAACAAGATGATTTTGGAGGATATGCCAAGTGTTAGCATACATCAAGCTCTTCAAGCTTGTCTAGCTTGGGGGACTTCGCTGAGACACACCCTATTCAATCGACTTGAGCGTGCCCTGGTATGCCAAGGAGTGTTGGCGAGGGAGAAGTTGGCCAAGGAAGAGGAAGAGAAGAAAGTCACTGTTTTGGAGGCCGAATTGACTCATAAAGAAGGCGCTTGTCACCGGAGTCTGGATGAGAAGGAAGAGCTCCTCAAGAGCTTTCGAATCCAGTTCTCCAAGCAGGTAGGAACCATCGAGGATCTTCAAAGGAAGATGGTTCATCTACAGGTAGAGGCCGAGTCCGAGAAGCGTTGTAGGACGACAGCTGAGGCAGAGGCTCGAACAATTTGGCTTTCTCTCGAGAAGACGAGGGCGGACTTTGAAGAGGTGTTGGTAAAGCTTCAAGCGTCCACGTCCCTTGTTAAGAAATTGGAGGACCGACTGGCTCATCTGGATTCAGAGCAGCATAAAAAAGAAGGTGGTCAACGACTGGCGTCATGGCCCTATAGGGAAGGACGAAGTAGCCTTAGCATGTAAACCTGGGGTTGATTACTTTGCTTCCTTGGTGCCTTGCAACTCTCATCCAACCTCAGATCGTTTTTATCCTTCCCGCATCTCCTGCTATCTTGATTTGATCTGATTGCATATTTGGGATTCAGAGGCTCGTTTGGTTATCAGCTGAGAGACTCTGATTTTGTTCTAATCAGGCATGTCACTTTTGACTCTCAGCGGGTGGAGAGTGTTGATCAGATCGTTGGGATGCCGTAGTAGGTGGAGGGTAATGCTACTCCACATTGTGTGAATATTACTCCACATACTCCAGATCATATTGTATCGTTTAGGATTCCAGCTGAGGTGACACAGTTTGGGGATCATTTAGATTTGGATGCAGATGATGAGTTGGTTGATTCGAGTGCAGCTGGTGGACATAGTTTCAATTTGGATATGGTCGTTGGTTCATCTCAGGTGAATGTGTTTAGTTTGTTTTATTTTGGGGCCATTGGGAAAGCTATCAGTTGCAGATTCGTTGGTGATGTTGATGAAGTGCTGAGAACTCTTCTATTGGATTGAGGGTCTTTGGAGGCCATTGGGGGACTACGTGAAGGCTTAATTTCTTGGGCAAGAGGATATCTATGCGGTCATTTATGATGTTACCGATTTGGTGAGTAGATACTGATGTTTAAAGAGTGGTCACACTCTTGTTTGGGTCTCGATTTATTGTGGATTGAGTCCGTTGTTGTGATTTTGTTTCACTTCGTACTAGACGTAACAAGTGAGACATTTGTTTCGTGTTGGTGTCGGCTCAGATTTGGGAAAACTTTGTCAAGGTGGAGAATTATTGAATAGCAAGTTCCTAATATGTTTCCTAATTTATTTTTGGTAACAGGT